CTGACAAATTTCTTAGTCTCTTGCAATAGCACCATCTCAACTTTATTGTCACAGAGCACCTTTTTTATCCTTCTCCTTTTAAGTGACTTTCCCAATCCCCTCACATTCCAAGATAATAACCTCATTACAAAATATCCATAGCTCCTTCTACCTTTTAGGAATGCTATTCAGTTAGCGTTGCCCTCCATCTCCTTCATCTTTTCAATATCTCTCTCTTCCAACTCCATTAATTTACTTATGATCTCCTCCTCCTTTCCATTGCAGTTCATCCTGAGGACCCTACTGAGTTGCAGATTGGTTTCAACTTCATTAAGTTTGCTTATGATCTCCTCCTCCTTGCCAATGCCATCCAACCCAAGAACCCTATTGAGCTGCAAATTTGTTTCAGCTTCATTAAGGGCCCTTCTTCTTGACTGACTTGACATGGAGAATGAAATTGTTGTTATTACTGACTTGAAAGGGGATAAACTAAAAATATTTAAGAATCGAATGGATAAGAAAGGTACTTGGGACTTAGAAGGTGATGCTAACACTATGCGGAATTTCGATGGCCAATTGTATGAGGAGAATCTCAAGGGAAATGCTTGGAGAGTCGAAAGGGACAGGACCCAGCTCTAGGGAAACTTGGTGGTGGAGGAAAGAGGTTCAAGCGGTAGTTAAGGCAAAAAAAGAGTGCTTTAAAAAGTGGCAGAATGATAGAACTGAGGAAAACCTTAAGAGCTATAGATTGGCTAATAAGGAGGTCAAGAAAGTAGTGAGAGAGACTAAGTTGAAAGCTTATGATGACCTATACACTAGACTAGATAGTAAGGAGGGAGAGAAGAGGGTATACAAACTTGCTAAGATATGGGAGAGGAAAACAAGAGATTTTAATCAAGTAAAGTGCATCAAGAGTGAGGATTCTAAGGTATTGGTGAAGGATGATGAGATTAAGGAAAGATGGAAGAAGTATTTTGAGAAATTGTTAAATGAGGAACATGGAAGTACGACAATAGGGGAAGAAATAATCAGTAATACGATAAACCAAGACTATAGGTTCTATCGCAGGATTAGGATAAATTTTCTTTGTTTTAAACTAATATTCTTCATAAACAACCTATATTTTATTTTATTTTCACTTAATGAACTTCACAGTCATCCCATTTTCATTGTTGTTATACAACCATCCATCATGTTTTTTTTCACCAACATAATAGCATTTTCTGCTTCTTTTCACAGTCGTTTTAATGTGACTTAGATGACTTCTGAAATGTGACGAAAAAACAAAGCATGTAAGTTGCGTTGCAGAAAGTCACATGCATCACGTAATTTGAGGAAAAAAGTGACAAACTATATAAGCATGGCAAAGTCAGAAAGTCACATGCATTACTGCATCACTGCATAAAGCGACATGCATCACTGCATCACTGCACAAAGTCACATGCATTGCTGCATCGCTGCACAAAGTCAGATGCATCACTGCACAAAATCACATAGCATCTGAGGAAAAAACAAAGCATCCAAATTATTACACCGGTTCAAGTAATTGGTGAGCATCACTGATAAATGTTGGGCGTATCACCGCACCGAGCTACAATTTATTATCGTACCGTACGTACTGTGCCCTTGTGAATTATGCAATCTATTAAAATTTTGAGGGAGTGTCATAACAAAATAATAATAAATTAATAAATATGTCAATACACCTAAAAAGTAAAACAAATTTCTGAATAAATATTTCAAAGAATTTAAAAATATTTTAAAGATTTTGAAATTGTAATTTCACATTTATTTTTTAAAAAAAAATTCAGGCAGAGAAATTTGACTACTTCAGACGTTTAGTCGGTTGATCAGCTTGGTTTTTATTTTATTATTTTTTTTTTATGTTTTTACTTTTCGTTTTGGAATAACAATAAATTATGCAATTTATAAAAGTCGAAGTGACAACTCCTATCAAGTTGATGCATAGTTGTTCAGGTCATAAAAGTTGACGTGACAACTCTGATGCATAGTTGATTACAATAATTTCATACATACAGCTACCATGTGTATATATGGTATAAATATCGCATCATACCATAACAAAAGTTTTACAGCTATTTCGAGCGATATCATCATGAGATATACGGTGGTTGATCTATATTCAGCAATGGGTCGCTATTGGGTTGCAGATGGAGATGAATTTGAATACCCAATGAATCCAAATCTACGTTACTCACGTGCCACCGTCAATACCATGAGAGCTGAGTGGGAATTTCACAAAACTCGAGCAAACGTTCTCGTTGAGCTATGTCGTGACGTAAATCTTAAATTTCCTTGCCGGTTAGCCATGCGTATGCCAACTAACACTCCACAGTTGTTGCAAAGGGCATTGCATCGTATCCGCGACGAGGTTAATTGCATGACCCAACGTTTGCAAAGGTCCGGACTAATGAAGACCGCAAATGAGCGTGCCGAAGATGGGTTAATGGATGATGCACACCAGTACTATGCCTGGAGCATGGATGTTATGTATGAATCTGATATTAAGATGTCAGATGATGATGATACTGAATGAAATTGTTTGGATGAACGCCCAAACCATTTCTGTAATGCATGCAATTTTTAATGCTTATCCACGACTTATCTTATCAATGAAGGGAGATATTTCAATTGTTTTCGAATATTTATTGTAATTCTACCTTTACTTTCTCTCCGTTATTGTTATGTTGAAGAATGCTACTTGAACTAGACTTTCCTGATTTCATGCATTATTGATGTGGAATATAATAATGATACTTAATGAACAAGGTATGAGTTCATATCGATTGATAGTTGAAATACTTGTGTTTGTTTAGATATTTATTTTGTTTCCTTTTTGTTCATATTGCTCCCCATAACTATCCATTATGCAATATTCACATTTTTTTCCCAGATTTTTGTTGTATAAAATTTTTACAAACCTGTAGCAACACAAGTGGTCCTCCAATCTCATTTAATCATAAAATCCTATCAATTCTTATCATTTTTTTCCTGTTTTCGTTTTCATTTTTATGGAAATCATCAAAACAAGTAAGAATAAAAAATTGTGAAATTATATTTTTTGAAGAAATAAGTATGACACATTTACATCATCTGTACAAGTTTGATATACAAAAACTATAACAAAAACTATAAATAAAATAAACTATACACTCCACATCACACCCGCTAATGCCCTAACCTGCCCCCAGTCCCACAACCCCGACCGTGGACCTCTCTCCTCGGTCTCCTGCGGTAGACTCTCTGAATATCTGGCTCCTGTGGAGCTTGTGACTGTGACTCCCCCTCTACTGCATGTGCTGCCCCTGATCTTGGCTGTGGCGGAAGATCAGATACTGCTGTGAGCTGTGAAACTCCATCATCTGGTGCAACTATATCAGGATCTGCAGCTGGAGCTCGACCTCTGCCTCTGCCCGCACCCCGACCTCTGCCGCGACGTCCGCCATGACCAAAACCTCGGCCTCTCCTGCACGCTCTGGGGGGGGCTCAATATGGCCCTCAGCGTCAACGTGGGAGATGTCAGTGAGAACTGCATCATATGTACTCATGGTCGCTGTCGAACTGTCTGGTGGTGGTAACTGGGTGGGTGGGGTAACAACGTCATGCATGTATCAGGGCGGTGCCCAATCAGGGTCAAGCACATAAGGTATGCCAGTATGCTACGTAAGAAGTACGTCGAGGGAATCTGTAGATATGTATGGGGTAGTATGTGGTGGGGTCGAAGGTAGTGTCGAAGGAGCTGATGTGGCAGGCGCTGAAGTGGAAGGCGCTGACATGGACGGCGCTGATGTGTCTGGAGTAGCTGCTGAAGTGTGTACACCGTAGTGGCCGAAATGCAAACGATCTCCCCGATGGGCAAGCTGGAATGCCTGGTACAATAACTCCCGGATCTCTGCAACGGCCTCCAAGGCATGCTGTGCATCACGTCTCAAATGGGCGTCCTCAGCCAAGTGAAACGACCTCCCAGCTCCAGCCACCTGAACAAACATTCAGACTTATTATTAGGCTACAGTTCATTGAAAGTAAATCAAGTATGATTTTAATAATTATCTGACACATAATATGATACTCACCAATGCCTCAAGATACGGGCCAACTCCCTGATATCCAGACTCAGACACGTGGCTCGGATTCCCGACTAGTAGGTGTGTATGTCGCAGATACCACAACATGTAAGGGTCGGAAGAGGGGATCACCTCATCGCTGTAGTCAGCCTGTACAATACTATCCCGGCGGGCATCCCACAACTGTATATATCGCATATAAAACAGACGCCAGTCAATGCTAGCTCGGCCACGCCTATCAGTGACGTGCAACTGCCACTCAGTATCGAACCGATCCGGCACGGGCTGCACCCGACCAAACTGTCGGAGGACACGATGGGGGAGATGCCACTCAACCACGTCAAAACAAATAAGTGGCACTCTCGCCATCCACATCTCCTGACCCAATCGGCAGTAGTCGGGGAGCGTATCGAGGACCCCAGCGTAAGGCTGCCAGATAAACTACAATGACGACAAATAATTTAAATTTTTCTCGTGAACTCAGAACATATACAATGAAGAAGACAACTAAAACGCAATCAAAAAAGTTCATACCTCGCCCTCGATCATCTGGTCCAGCTGGTCTCTATAAACTACCACTACGTGGGTCGAGACGACCTCGTGGCCCATGTCAACCCTCCACCGGCTACCTCGCGGTCCGGTGGGCAACTGCATGTCCCCCTTACCCATAGGAAGCTCACCAGGACCAACCGGTTGCCGCCTAGACGGGGCAATGCGAATCAATCTCTCCCATGCCCAAAATCTGCAATAGTTTGAACACAATTACAATACTGATATATGGCTATAAATATGAATTGACATGTAATAAAATTGTTACTAACCTGTAGCAACACAAGTGGTCCTCCAATCTCCCTCGTACCCACCTGAGCTGCTCGACATAGCATTCTATACAACCATGCCAGAGCCGCCCTACCCCAGCTGTACTGCCCAATCTCCTCAATGTCTCTCAGCAATGGCAAGTACATCAGTTTGACCAGGTTCTATGACTTATCAGGGAGAAGTACTCCCCCAATAAGCCACAGAATATATGCTCGGGTATGCTGCTGTACCAACTCATCTGGAGCATGATCTGGAAGATGAGCAAAGTGCTCGGCCAGCCACCTCACCCTCACTCTACCTGGCTGTAAATCTGCTGGTGTAGGTGCTACTCCCAATAGCTCAGCACATAGGGCTATCCACTGCCCCGTCGCGAGAGAAGAGTCAACTCCAGTAACTGCTCGGCCATCAATCCGAAGACCATATAGGACGGATACGTCCTGCAACGTGACAGTGGCCTCCCCGATCGGGAAATGGAATGTATGAGTCTCTGTGCGCCACCTCTCAACGAGAGCAGTGATGAGTGCGTGGTCCAGTCGAATGTGCCCAATACGATACACACCATAGAATCCCGCGCGTAATAGATACTGCAAGACTCTATGGTCCAACGGATGCTCCCATAATCCAGAATCTACCCAACGGCATGTCAACACGGTGCGTGCCTCATCCTGCACAACAGAATTACCAGTTCAAATAATAACATTATCCCGAAATATACAACAAAATGCAATGTATTTTAATTGTAGCCGTAAAGTGCAACAAACGTTATTGCATACCGGACGGTCCCACATACTGTCAGCCCGATATGCCTGTCTCAACAGTGGAACCTCCTCAGGTACATGTGCCATGAAGCCTGTACAACTGAAATTATTGATCCATATCAAAAGCTCATTTAAGAGAAAACTGTAATTATTGATTTTGTACTGAACGATGTAAAATACAATGAAGTAAATGTTATGGGTTCGAGAAAAAGACAAATTTATGTGTCACTTACATGGAAGCAATTCAAAATTAATGATCGCATTTATGGCATATTTGACAAAACTGAAAAATTTATTTTGTAATGCTAAAAGTTTAAATAAATTATAAATTTTACAAAATACATATAAAATTTTGTAATTGTGAACAATGACCGCAGCATTCCAATTTTTAAAATTTCAATTTATAATAGGTTAATTTTTTTAAAATTTGTAAATTTTTTAAATTATAAAATGTGAACAATGATTGCAGCATTCAATATTTAATTTATTCAAAAATATGAAATTTTGAAATGGTAGAAGAACTACGTGATTAAGTATAGAATATTGTAATACACATTTCGAATCAAGTACTCCGTGAAAAACTAGTACACATTTTCAATAAATTATAAAAGTTTGAATAAATTGTACACATTTTCAATTTTGCATTACACATTTTTGACTCAAGTACACATTTTGTAATACACACTTCAAATGTACGACCCCATTTACAAATAAAGAATTTAAAAATACATAATTAAATGATCTATTACAAATGAAGAATTTCAAAATGATATATTACAACATGTAAGTATTACATAGTCTTCATCGACCAAGTTGCGCCGGACATGTTCGCCTGTTATGACTTGTCTGGTGGCACTCACTGCAACGAGCTGTCAAATGCCTGTCTGATATATCCATCTCATTCGAAATACGAGCCATAGATGTACGACCCCGTTTTACTTCTTGCAGACGAAGGTCATTAGGCATTAAGGTCCACTGCGGATCATCCCAATAATCTTCATGCGGTATTGGATTGAATTTAGTTTCCCAAACACTCATGTATATAGGAAGCTTATATACTAGATCAACGTACTGGAATGGATTGTCACCGCATTCAGACATTACATTTGGACTCTTTGATGATTCATCGGTCTTACATTGCACTCCGCGAGATTAGATACAGGACCGTGACACAAATTGAGTCCGAACTGTAGAGAGCCCCGAGTGCGCGTCTACAGTTTCTGGCGACTCTGCTGGGGAATTTAGAGAACTTGACTCGAACTCATGATATCTTGTTTTGACTACACTTATGTGTTTCTTTGCATTGCATTTGCATTGGTGCGCCTAGAACACCGTGTTTGCCATCTGCTATTCCTGAACGGTTTGCCGGAGGCTTGCTTTGTCAAAGCATGCCGTAAGGCTGACCGGTTACGGGCTCTGCCAGTATGGGAGCACAAACCCCGGTATTACCGGGGCACCCTTTTTGACCATTCGACCTGGTGCATATTAGGAATCCATAGTGACCACTCCAAACTAGGACAGGTTGCTTACCCGTTGATAGGTTGTTTGAAATCGCTACGTGCATAGTGAAACCCTAGTTCCTGACAAAATAGGACAGGGAAACCTTACCCCAACATAGGGGTGTTTTGGCTCTCACTTGTTTGTTATGTGCTTTTAGAGTGTGTCTCTATACGAATGCATGTATCAGTTTGCAAGTTTGGGCATCAGGCCTGTGGGCACCAGTTCAGTGTTTCTAGGTATCAGGCCTGCGGGCACCGGTCTAGTATTTCTGGGTATCAAGGGCCTGCGGGCACCAGTTCAGCATTTTCGGAATCAGTTATCTGCGGGTATCAGATTCAGCTTCGGGGACAGTGATTTGGGAGTAATGATTTGGGAATAATGATCGGTCTTTAAGAACAGTGTATCAATTGCGCGTTAATTATACCCGACTGTGTGTTGTGTTTATTTACGCCATTATGCTATCCATTTGTCTGCTCGTTTATTTCCTTATTATTGCTTTATTTATCTTTTTGCTAGGTAGTTTAGCACAATTGCTTCAGACCAAGCAGATATTCCCTAAGCACTCTGGACAAGAGGTCGCCGACTCAATCGATCTGAGGATCTGGTCGACGGACAACCAGTGTTTCACTCTCTACCCCTAGTTATCAGACAGAGGTCAAAAAGTCACGGTATATCTAAGCAGAGGTTACCAGAACAACGGATTACCCCATCAGTGGACAGTCGGATTGAGATCCCAATTGTTGCTATAGAGATAGACCTGCCAGTAGTTCAGACAGATCAGGGCAGTATGGCGGGACCAACAGGAGTCGAGGAAATGATGTGTTAGATGCAGGACACCATGAGAGCCATGCAGCAGGATGCTGTTCGCCGAGATGAATTTGCCAAACAACAGGTCGAGATCATGGCCCAGCAGGCAGAGTTAATTGCTAGATTGTAACAACAAGCCGGAGCATCTGCTTTACACCTAGTTCCTCCCCCACCAGGAATCCCGGCACCCGAAGAGACACCAAATGTCCAGGCAGATACAGACATACCGACGGGGCCAACTCCGTCCCTTATTCTGCCCCAGCTATCTAAGGCACCTACGCTTGTCAATCAACCGGACTCTCCCTTCGAGTTCGAGGTAGACCATACAGCACTAAAATTGAGCAATCTTGAGAAGTTGTTCAAGAAATCCCAAGGGGTAAAGGCTATCCCAAATATCGAGGACGGATATACCGATGTGGCTGTGACTCTGTCGAATAGGTTTAAAATGCCGCAAATTGATCGTTTCGACGGATCGGGGGACCCCATGGTGCATCTCCGGCTATTTTCAGATATACTACGGCCAATGGGCCTCACCAGACCACAAAAGCTTTCACTATTCGGCCGGACCCTATCGGGTGTGGCCGCTATCTGGTATGCGAAGCTGGAGGATGATGTCAAGCGAAATTGGGATGAAATGGCCGAGGCCTTTGTCGCGCAATACTCTTACAATACCCAAATTGAGATTACGACCCGAGATCTCGAAACAACAAGGCAGGAGCTTAAGGAGAGCTTCTCGGATTTCGTAACTCGGTGGAGGGCGAAGGCTTCGATGATGACCCTGAGGCCTACTGACAAAGACGAAATCAGGATGATTGTGCACAATCTCCAGCCAAAACTGATGCAAAAAATGATTGTGCTCCCCTTTCCCACTTTTTCAGATCTACATGAAATGGGGGTACAAATTGAAGATGCAATGAAACAGGGTCTGATTGACCAAGATAGAGAGCAACCGAGAAGAACCTTTAACCGCAACAACAATACAGGCCCGAGTGGCGCTGCAACTGCAAGAGCTTCGGAGGTGAGCGTGGTCACCACCATTCCCCCTCTCCTTCCAAGACCCATGGCAGCTACACCTTTCTCTGGCGCATCCGGAAGCAACACACAAACCACTCGATTCCAACCCAGAGGCCAAAGAACCTTCACCCCACTGTATATGCCCCTGTCTAAGGCTCTGGGGGTATTAATCAGGAAAGGGCATCTAAAACCCCTGGAGCCGAGGCCATTGCCAAATCCACTCCCTCCTTCCCATAACCCAGCAAAATACTGCGCATATTACCAACAACATGGTCACGACACTAACCAATGTTTCAGATTGTGTCATGAGATTCAAGACCTCGTTGACAAGCAGGTGATTGTACCTCCAGAAAAACCCAATGTTACAACAAACCCTCTCCCACCACACAACCAAGCTCCACCTCCCAAAAGAATCAACTTCATCCAGACTGGGGTCGTGTCTTACCATCCCAGCATGTATATCACTCCTTCCCACCTACCTAAGCCGGAGGTGCTCCTTCCTGACTGCACTGACTCCTTGTGCATGTTGGACATGTCCAGAACCCAACCCGAGCCAATGGTGGTGACTGGCAAAGATAGAACAAAGGAGATTTCAGAGGAGGATGGAATTGTTCAATCAGGGTTTGAGCAGTCTAGGAGTGTCGCTGAGGAAGCCTATGATCCGAGTGATTACATTCTGCCAGCAGGACAGTTTGAGCCTAATATTGAATTGCCAGAGAGGGCAGAGCTGTGTGTGATCCGAGGAGATGGATTCGAGCAGGGGACAGATGGTTTGACGGTTGTGGAAGAGGACTTGGCCAACCTCCAGTTTTTCAACGACCAAGATCCAAGAGACGCGGCAGTCAACTGGTTTGATTATGAGGAATCGACACAGGCTATTGGGTGGCTTGATGACTTGCCAGACGTTGTTGACGAAGCTCAGTTAGAACAGGGCCCGGCAGGGGCAAGTATATCAGTGGTGGCCGGAA